CTCATCAACTCGGAAGAGAGTTCATTAATTTGTCCAGAGTCGTAGCGCGAATCGATACATTCGAATGAGACCAAAAACGCTCGGCCCCCGCGCGAAATTCCGCAAGCTGGTCTATCGTTACATATAGAAATACTCATTTACACCGCGTTACATAAAACTGTCTCATTTACTCACCCTGTCCTGAATCCTCACGTTTTCCTGGCCTCGCTTCAGGCTCGGAACCCGCAGGACTTTACTCGTGAGTGGCGGTTCCATCATTCCAGAAGATAAGTTTCTCGTCAGGATCTCATCCTTGGAAGAAATATTTGCGTCCCTTCAGTCCATTTTCTGTAAGAGCAAACAAAAAATTCACATAATCGTCACCGCAGATTCAACAGCAACAAATTCGAGAATAGTGACGATCGAGTAATGCCAATATTTTTATTCAAATTCCTATAGGAGAACCACGGGTAAAAAATAGCCATCTCTAAGAGATACAATAACCTCGTGGTAAACGACAGCCTGCATAATGCATAAAGTCCGACTAGTAGATACGACGACAGAGAGACTGGTTTCGCGATGCGATCGATCAGGGAAAAGTCAAGGATAAGCAAAGAAGATCTACCGATGATACATGGAACCTCGATAAATCAGCGGGATCTTGAGAGTAGTCCACGTGGCAGCGTAAAACAAGCGTCTAGTAAAATTTTGCCTGGCGAGCTTCTTCGACGATTATATAAATTAACGAAGCGTCTCCGTACCTTCGTATACTGTAACCTGTACAGTACAGCGAATATGGCTTCTCGTGGTTAGCGCACCGTGAAATCAATATGGCTCGATATTGACGCGCGAAGTTATATAAAAACTGGTATTTTCAAAGTCGCCAAGTATCGTTAAGACGGTACTAAAAATCTTACGAGACAAGATCCGGGCTCACAGGCTTCTATGCAGAGAGAACCGGCATTACCCGTAATTCCACGGTATGCAGAGGGAGCCACCATATACAAAGGAGCACGCCTACCCGGGTCCATTGTCCTCAAATTCGTAACTAGATTCCGATCTGCGCAAGGAATTGACTTTTTGCGCCGCGCCATACCGCAACGAGGCGATTGCGAAACGACTGCGTTGCATCGTTTACATTAATTATCCAATTCTATTCCAAGATACTGAATTTTATCTGCCGAAGTAACAATCCCGACGCGCTGTGACGTCATCAAAGAACGGAGTACGCGATAGAGGTTAAAATTTACCTAAACTATTTTACCCACTGAAAACTCGCTTTAGCTTCGTTAAGTAAATCCAAGTCGATGTGGATATACAGATATATACGCGTAGCTGAATTCCGTGGAGGTTGGGTCGGCAGGTATCTTTGGTTACATAGGAATTAATCTTTGGCAGATCGCCAAATTACTGAAAATCGATCGGATCCGCACAAATTCGTATTGGCATGGCGTGAAATTTATTCGAATCCCGTGATTGGTCAATGATTTCTCTTATATTGCGCGATGTCTTTTATTCGACTTTTAAATCCCACGAAATCGTTACCGTCCTCCGACTTTCAGGCATTTCGTTACGCGAAAACACACCCGGTACACAGTGCACGTGCTTCGAAATTTTAAATGGATTTCGCCTATCTCGTGATTATCAGCAGTGACGATAATGTGGATTAAGGCAAGGTCTTGGCGAAACGATCGACCTCAGTTTTAAATGAATCTTAAATTCTCTTATTCGTCTACGCGACGAGGATCCACTCGGAATCTATTTACACTTTTATGCAAATAATGATAATATGTAGCAAAAAATATATATATACACATGTATACATACAATTTGATGGATCTTACGTCGTCTCGTTAAATTACTGTTATCCGTCATACGGATTTAAAGGTTCATAATGATATCGCGTGTATTTGGCCATACTCATACGTTTGACCTCGCGTGTAATCGTCAATGCGAAAGATGATCGTTTTCGAGTAACGTCCTTCTTACGAAATGGTGCATCACCAATGTGTCTATTCTTAACGAAGTAGACGAATCGCAGGCGTGCCTCCATTCAAATGGATGTATTTATTCGATTCAGTGATCGAAATAATAAGTCCAATTAATTCAAATGCCCCATTGACGGTTAATATTTAATACGCGTAATGAGCGCCGCGTATATTAATATGCGACGATACGAGATGAAAAGGGAACTCGAAAGAGGAAGAACGTTACGAGGTTGCCTTTAGAAAGAAAACTTTCTTGAGGCTCGTATAGATATCAATTATATAGACTGGAACCAAGTGGCCCATTACTATGCGAGACTATGGATTCCTATGAAATAAATGACAAGTGACCTTGGGCGCTGTTCGCCAAATTAAATTGAGTAAAGGTAACCGTGCGAAAACGGCAATTGCCAAGTTAAGCCAAAAAAGAAACGAGGTCGAAGATGAACAGTGAAGACAACAAGTTTCGCGAATTGCATTAACAAAGCACGTGTGGGCTGCACTTTAGTCCCGTCTGCGAATCTTGAAGCGAATTGACCTTGGCCAGTAATTATCACGGCGCAAGACAAAGCACGTGCTCAGTGCCGATTTAACGAGATAAGAGTCTCTTCGTATCCATTTGGTTGGTGCAATTTCGAGTGCAGAATTCGATTCGCGTAAGTTGGCAAAGTCATTTCGAAATTTCGCACGCGAAGGGACCGTTTAACCGTACATAGGGAAAATGCATCTAGAGAGTTCTTACTGAAAGTAGATATAGGTGGCATGGGCTGAAAGTAGTTGGGAATCGTGGACGGGATGCAAATACAGTTTTGATAAATTATAATGCCAGTTGGCTAGTCGTGCAAAACAAACCACTCGCCGGAACTGTTAAAGACAAACACGTAACATCTAAACCGTTCGAGATAGCGGTATTGCATAGTGGAGACAGAAAGTGCATTTCTTTTCATGCGGAACATTACCATATATATGTATACACAGAAAAATTCATCAAACAGTCATTGAAGGATGCACGCACGATATAGAGAATTTTGACAAAGGCATCTTCTATTCACGATTCGACCCACCGCTATGTCTGTCTTTCTCTTACGCCCAGCAACGCCCGTAAGTCCGTCTCTCTCGCGCTCGCAGCGAGCATAGGAAACTCCAAAAAACCTTTCCCTTCTCGCTATATCCTTCAAACGCACGCTTGATCGTACCGGTCACGTGACAGCTGTCAAAAGCCGCCGGGACAGGTAACTACGATCTAACATATACAAACCTATACGCAAACCTAAATAAAATGCACTATTGTCACGGGTGAAATACAGCGCGCGCATCACGGTCGAGAAAAGTCTAATCTAAAACTTTCAGTGGCAATAAAGTTCATAAATCTTTATTCCGTGTAATGACTCTCGATTTCCGATTCCCCGAGCATTCAACGTACTACGAAGCGGCACCGTAAGGTATCACCGTTGACCGAACGATTACAAAGTAATCGGTGTGTGCGAGCGCGCGGTATTATTTCGCTGTCACAGAGATAAACCATCGGACGCGCAGTCAAGCAAGGTCAGAATATCTTACGCACGAGAGCCCAGATAAGCCCAGGATGTTCTCGTATCGCGCGAGCTGAAATTCATCGTTTCTGCTTGAACGTGAAAAAAAAAGAAAAAAAATGTGCCCCAAAAGACTGATACAAAAAAATTCGTCTGCAGAAATTTACGATCGATCCGCACAGAAAAGTTATATAGGATTTCTAAAAAAAAATGTTTGTAATTCAAAATGAACCCATTCCAAGGAACTTGGTCAAGGATACGAGAAGCTCTCTCTCTCTCTCTCTTTCTTCACGTACACAGGTAATTTCAGGTATCGCTAATGATAACACAGCTACGACGTGAAGCAAAGTGCCTATGATCGCCCATTGGGCCTCGTGCCAGAAAGCTATATGCAAAGACGGCTTCCATAACGCAGGGCATCGTTACGCCAACGGCGTCCTGGCTTTTCAATGATATCAAAGTATTTTACGCCAAGGAATCTCTTCGACGTGGTAATCAACGAGATAGCGTTGCGAGTTCAACAATGCCCGGCAGGAAGTTGGATGCTGTATTTTTGTCTATTCTCTTTGTTTACATCAGGAATCATTCGTGTTGCAGTTACCTGGCTAGAAGCGGAGTAGTAAAGGGAGCGTGGGAATGACGATGACCCACAGTACACCATGCACAATGGTACTTCTGGATACCTACTATCACTTTGCCTGCTCTGTATCTCGGGTGCTAGCGTGCAGTCTCGCAATCAGAGCCAATCTGGCGTTGAGCTACCGAGATTTGCAACGTTCGAACCAAGCGTGTAGATATGCGCATATATGTATATGCTGAAGCACATATCTGAGACTTGGAGTTCGATGCACCGGTCGGTTTTATAGGACGTGTTGACAGTAGGTGATAACCTCTATCGCGGTTAGATCGATTAATGATAATACTGTCGTTGAAGCATGAAAGGATCTCACGGTCTTGGGGAAGCAGGACGAATCCGTGTAATCGGCTGCACAGGGAATATCTGTGTGTAGAGATATTTTTTTTTTTTTTTTTTCTAAGTCACTTCTCACTCGCAGAGCAACGCCTGTCAATGTTGTATACCGGATATGGTATCACGACCAATAACAATTCTACTGTGAAATTTCAGTCATATGGTATTTCGTTCCGCCCCTGTAATATCCAGCATCCTTGGCACAGCCTTGACCCTATCCCCGGTTTCCCGGTAATTCGTGCCACGCCCGGAATGTCCAGTCATTATAGTACATCACTACCGGTAGCATGGTTGTACCTTTCCAGCTGTGCAGATAATTGAGGGTAGTTATCGGGAGGTTCTATTGATCCGATCTATATGCCTACGTGAAACATTGCTTAAAGTAGTATGAAACGAAACGAAAAATCAAAGACCGACATTTCATTCCCTTTAAAATTCAGGTTACAGTTAACGCGTGTATCGAAAATATATTGAAATTCCGTCAAGACTTTTCGCGATGCTGACTGGTCGACACTGTCGTCGTTCGATGCGTGTTTTCATTTGCCGCATGGTGTCCACGTGCATAGCATGCTGTCAATTTGACATGTTATGATTACTTTACAAATGTAAATATACGAAATAATTCTTGTATCGTTTATCTCGCACTGTTTCTCAGCGCGTAATGAAACTCTAGTGACAGTATAAAATTAAAAAAATAAAAATATAAAAATGAAAAAAAAAACCTAAAACACATTAAGCCGTTATAGAATCACGAAAATCCGTAAAATATAAATTAACGAACGTAAAAACAAATAAATCCATAAATCCCCGTACTCGCTCTCCACATTTCCCATGCGTCTCGATTAAACAATAAACGTTAGA